TCGCATATGCTGTTGTTCTTTCTCACATGTTTGGTTTGGTCGCCGATCTTGCTTTGTGTCGTGTCGATTTCGGCTCGTTGCCCAGCCCTCTGCCTCCTCTCTCCCCCCTCCCGCTGATTCGCTCTCGGCTGGTGTCAGTCAGCGGCCTCACGCCCCCGCTCTGCATGCTTCGCTGCCCGTCAGATTTTCATGACTGAGCGGGCGTCACCGTCGTTTCGACCTCGAACCCTGTTGTGCCTCTGCATCCTCGTGTGCTTGCGTGTTTGGGCAGGGGACTGCCAAGCTGCTTGTGTGTGCGTGTGTGTGTGTGTGTCGATGTGTGTCCCGGCTGCGCCTGCCTGGGTTCGTGAGTGACCGACTGTCTGTCTTCGCTTCCGTCTGCATGTGCTGCGCCGTGGCTGTCTTTGCGCTGGCCCGTTCCTTTTGTGTTTGATGCGGTGGGGGGTGTTGCTTAAGGAATGCGCCCAAGAGGCTACAGGCGCTGGAGGATTCCTTATCAGATGAGGGCGGCGGTGATATCCATGGCCGATCCACGATTGGAGCCCCACTGGCTTCCAGACCCTGGATTCCTTATCCGAGGGTTCCATGCGGCGGCGGCTGCCATGCGTGCCTAGCGCAGAATTGCATGCATTTGTGTTGCACGGGCGCTGCCCCCGAAGAGAGAAAAATGCCCTCACCGTATGTCTGGGCGTCTTTATCCCAGACATGCGGCGTCGTTTTTTTCAGTACGCCGTCCCCCGAAGTCCAGACCCTTTCCCCGGTGCCGGTTTTTCATCCTCAGTCGTTCTTTGACGGTCCCCAGGCCCGGCGAGGGCCCCCAGGGGCCGAAGCTAACGAATAGCTCGACGCGATCATGTCTGGGATAGCATTGCATATCCATGTCGCACCGCGTCTCTGTTTTTCTGTCTCAGTATCGTTGTGCATCCATGCGTCTGTGTCTTTATGCTTCTCTGCTTTTTTATGCCTTTGTCTCTCTGCCGCGCGCCTTTGTGGCACGTGTCTCTGTCCGCGTCGTCTGCCTTTGCTTGTGTCGATGCCTACCCATCGGTCGTTGAAAGTAGGTATTTTTGGATTCACAGGTTCCAATCTACTTGAAGCGCCTTCCTACTTCAATGATCGAGTGACCTCACCTTTTCCGTCCTCCTTAGAGGGCGGACGGAACCCAATCTACTTCCAACGCCTTCCTACTTATGGTTCTACCTACTTCTTCCGACCGGTCTTCTGTTCGTCCATGCATTGTTTGTGACGCGTCTGCAGCAGCAGTCTTGTGATCAAGGGTGGCCCGAGTTTGTGCCGAGGCGTGTCCCTCTGGCGCCCACGAGTCTCCCGGTCTGACTGCGAGTCGTTCCCACGGCCTAATGGACGCCGAAACGATCTCGGAGGCCCCGCATGTGGAGACGGACAAGGAGGTGGCCGCTCGGCTGAAGGAGCAGGAGATCCGAGTCAGGGATCTGCACGTGTCCACCTCCAGGGGAGTGTCCATCTTCCTGGCATCCAGGAGGCGGTGGATCTACAGATGCCTGCGGGCCCCCTGGGGCCCAAGTGTACCAACATTCACCGCCCTCTGTGGTCCAGTGGGATCGGAACCCTGGGCGCGGGGATGCGTCTAAATTCGGCGGCGAGCGAGGGGGGAACTGAGAAGGAAAAGGCCTTCTCAGAAGGCGGCGGGACTTCTCCGAAGCCCTCGCGCCTTCTGAGCAGTCTTCTGTGTCTCCGGGGGAGGCTCAGAAGACTTCCCAGAAGGCCGGTGGACTTCCGAGCCTTCTGAGAGAAGGCCTTCTCCTGCTCACTTCCCCCCTACTCTGGGTTTCTTAATAAGTGTGGGGGGGTACCCCCCCGATGGGGGTTAACCTCGCCTCGTCGTCGCGCCGCGACGGGGGTCGGAGCGCCTTGGGCGCGCGGTGGCTGCTCGCGACGGGGGTCGATGTGGGGCTGTCGGCGGGGGTGACGCCCCCCCCGACGCTTATTAAGATACTCGGAGTAGGCTCGCCGCCGATGTATCCTGGCCTCGCCTAGGAGAAGAAGAAGCTCGCCGAGTTCGGGGGGGCGGTGCCCTTTAGCAAGCTGGTCTCGCTGGCCTCTCCGGCCGAGCTCGCGGTCTTCTTCCTGGGCGTGCTGGCGGCCGCGGCGCACGGGCTGGGCCAGCCGCTGCTGTGCATGATGTTCGGGGACCTCATCGACGCCAACGCTGCTCCGGTGGCAGTCGGCGACCAGGGAGGAGGAGGAGGAGGAGGAGGAGGAGGAGGA